GTAACACAAGCAGCATTTTTCTATCTGAAATCTCAGTCAGTCCCCTTTCTACTACAAATATATTAGGAACAGAAAAGAAAACCTTTCCATGTCTTCCCTTTTCTGTACTCTGAAATTCAAGGAAAAGGGAAAAGCCACTGTCAGAGCTCTTCCCTTTTTCACACTCTTCACAAGAAGATGTGGGTTGTAGATGTGTGGGTAGATATTTGAGAACAAGGCATGTTCCTCTACACAGCTAAGGTAAGGTTAGTTTATTGCCTTTCATGTCTGACAAGATGTAAGAGAACAAAATTAATTATCTGAAGACTACTGGCTTTATTCTAGTAAACGCAAGGGGAATTCAAACTCACCATCTGCAAGAACTGCTTCATATACATAAGACAGAGAGTCTTCAAGGCTTTTGTTCTGTGGTTTACCTGCGTGGAAGGGGGGGAAGAGAGAAAAAAAGAGTAATTTTTAATAGGTATCTCCTCAGAAATAACTAAATGGTCATCAACCTTGATGAGAGTGACCATCACTCTCCAACCTGAATGTTTCTGAGAATCTGAATGTTTCTGAGAATCTTTAATTTGCTCTTAGGGAGATTTCTGTATCATAAATCAAACTGTTGACTACCGCTTTGGAGAATTTAAGTCATTCCTCTTCCCATCCCGGAGTTTCTAGGCAAAAAGGCAGGCAAGCCTTGTAAAATATGCTTTTCAGAGGTGCTGACTGGCTGTGTATTGCACTTTCCATGATTGAGCACTTTAAGACTTCACAACCATAGACCTGACTATTCACAACCTCAATTTAAATTAACAGGAGTTTGGACATGGACATAAGGTATACTCCATACACTGGCTGAGAAGTCATGCTTCTGTGTGGCATTGCAAGCAACAGAACTGCCTCACCTTATTCTTGGTAAATACTAATGCRGTATTAGTGTATCATATACTAATACATAGTAGTGATCAAATGGTGATCAAATCAACTACCCTTTGGATAGCACTTGCATACTGCAGAAATGAATTAGATGGAAAAGTACATTAGAAAAATAATAATTAAGCTCTCAACTGGATTTGAATGGCATTCAATACAGAAATAATATAATCAAACACAAAAAGTATATAACTGGTCATTAACTGAGTACTATTTCACCCTGTGTACTAAAAAGGCCAGGTTCTTAAAAGAAGGGTGGGGATGCAGTTGGATAATTAAAGACAATCCATGCATAAGAACAAGGAGTTTAATTAAAATCATCTCAGATTGTTGAGACAGAAAGAAGGGATTCAAGAGATGAGACTCGCCTTATACTGCCTACCAACTGCAGTGGACAGTGAAAGCTATAGTGACAGGGTAGTGCTTACTGACATCTAAGCTATACCATTAGTGGCTATTCAGGTCTGGAAGGTAGGTACTTGAATCAGTATCCATCTTCCATTGTTCTAATGAATTCCATACTGTTCTTGCTCCCTGAAATGAATCACACCTAGCACCCTGGGGACCTGATGTTCTATGGGATTAAGYGGATTTAGCTGTGGTGGAGAATAAGAGTGCACTGCCAGTGAATCATAAAGCCTATTACTTGACTACAAATTCTGACATTTGTATGCTGACAGCTCTTTGTTAATACTGAGACATGAAGTTACAAATGTATGCAATAAAAAAGTTAACAGTAATTAATAACATTTCTGAAAAGAGGGAAAGGGAAAAAATGAAGAACATACACATTAGTGTTTTGATCATTATCTTCAAAAGCAGAAATATCAGGAACAGAAAAGCACACACAAAAAATTAAAAGCGGAAGAAGGTGACCTATAGAGAGATGAGAAATCCTTGTGAGTATGTAACCCTGAAGACAGGCATATAGAAATAGTGCCACAGGACAAGTCAAGTGTACTTAATAACAGTCTTAGCAAGGCATTTTAAACTCAAAGAAATAAATATTTCCCCAAAAGCATAATCTGTCAAAATCCCAGCCAAAGATAACACAAAAGCAAATAACTTAATAAAACTCTACTGAAGACTAACACAAATACGGACACTGCAAACTAATCATTACCTTTAAGCAGAGATMAACAATAAGATACAATCATCCTTATTCCTCAGATCTTAAATTAACYGCCAGGTAACAGCTAATTTGTACTATAAATATTTACAGTACTTGCTAGTCAAATTCTGCACAATATATCCGAGTTGGTCTACCTGATGGCAAGGGTACAAGTACGTGGGGGAAGGAGGGCAGAGAAGAAAGAAAAAGAAAAAAAAATCTCACCATCAAGCTCAGAGCCTTTATCTTAGCTATCTAGCTATCTGCATAACAATACAATAACAAACATTAGGTGGTAACATTATTTTCTGTTCCCAAATTTGAGCTCCTCTTCTCTCAGTTGCAGTCTATGCATGCCTTGCAAAGCTGTGTACATGGAAACTGTAGTCTTAGACATCTTCTCATTACTTAATCTTTACATTTGTCTCAAACTGTTGATACAGGTCACTGCCAAACACAGACATCATTTAAACCTCTTTTGGTTGCTTGGCATTACATTCTATGGAGAAGTCCTGAAGGCAGATGCAGTAAATATTTTGTGAATATGCAGACCAGAGGAAAAATCATGATCTTTCTTCTAGGAAAATGTTTATCTTTTCAGAGAGGTTTGCAATTTCCTGTGCATGAGTCAACCAACAGTCTCTGGGCCCAGTTCCTTCTATACATATATGCGTGTGCACTGTATAGATGATGGATTTTATTCCACTGAAATCCTGCTCAGGAATCTTTCCCTGAAGCTAAATATCAGACACTGTCAAAAGGTGGAACCACTACCTCCTGAAAAAGCAAGCACCTTTAATTTTCACAGTTTAGGTTTTGGGAGCTACACAGAAGAACAGGATACAGTGACAAAAAGGTGAATAAACACCAATCAGTACAAAATGTTAGACAGACCRTTGGGAAGGGGAGTTGACAAAAATGCAGAGATATTCAGGGCACATTTGAACGCAATGTACACTGCTTAAGCTTATTTGCTCAAGCCCAAGGCAGTGTGCCATCCAACTAGTCCACTGTGACTTGGGTAGGGTCTCTGCCCATGTGATCAAAGGAGTATTTCTTGCTCATTTGAATCCATTATGCTTCCAGAAACAGGTTCATCTCTGAGTAAAATTCCTGAGCTACAGGCTAACCTTCTCAAAACTAAGCTCCTGTGCCAGAAGCGTGGCACCCTGCAGATTTGCAGAGACAGAACCACAGTGTCCTGCACGACACACAAAGTATAGAAGCTGAGAGCAGCAAGAGACCTAGTGACCACAAAAATACACTAAGTATGCTCTCAAAGGTTCTCTCTCCAAAGAGGCCAAAATAAATGCCATCCTAATAAACCTCTTGTCAGTTACAGTTGTGCAACTAGACCAAGTACTTGCAAATTAGGCCTAACTACATGCACAGACTAGCACAAGACTTATTTGCTATTTCAGTATCTCCCTTCACCAGGAAAAAAGTTTTCCTTGCATTTCAGGAAGTGCTTATATTTATTTCAATGCTTTTTGGTTGCTTCCATGGCTTTGCAAAGATAAACAGATATGGAGTTTCTAGAGCAAATTTTTTTCTTGAATTTGTAAAACAGCAAGGGTACTTTTGCGCGCTCCCACCCCCCAACACCAKCTTGTGTGGCATGCTGGAAATGAAACCATCCACCCAACCGTGGTACAGTCAGTAATTATTTTTCAGGCAGTCAGTTTTAGCTAGAGAGACATTGTCAACTAAAGAATTTTTAAATAGAGGAAAGAAAAATCCAGATTTTTTGTACAGTTTGAGATTAGCAAACTCAGGAAAGAGAAACAAACCGTGTATCACCTCTTCAATCTCACCATGACATAGTGATGGTAAATTCACAGATGCCAGTGGCGGCTTTTGGATTTTCTAAAGCTGCTTCCTTCTGACATTGAAGCTGGACTAAGAATATTATAATTTCAAACTTCAATGACAAATGCATCATCAAGAAAACAAACTGCCGGATGAAGATGAAAAGAGATAATTTTTTAGAAGATAAAATACTACTTCCCCCCTCAACTTTCAAAGGATATTAATACAGCTAGAAAATTATTTTAGTAAAACTACTGGGATTTAGCTTACCTGACTGAATAATTCTAGTAACAATGGAGAGATATTCCTCAGGTTCTTGATCAGCGGAGATCTCTCTGCTGCCTCTAGATAGAGTCAGTACATTATAAAGAATGTCTGAATTCTCTACTCCACAAAGCAGAATCACCACATCATCTGGAGGTTTGAGAACTTGCTCAAGAAAATAACTTCTCTTTTGATTCAGACTTTTAACAAGTCCACCTGATAGTATCAGCAGTTTACATTTATAACAGGATAAAGAAAATAACTCCAAGGGCTTGATAGATGAAGTGTCAAGACTGTACAGTAAGATTCCTTCTTCATTCAGTATGTGCCTGAAGAGAGTTTTTAAATACAGAGCCCATTCTTCCGCTTCTTGTTCATAAATCACAAGGATATCCTTCATATGTTCTAAAGAGACAAGATCAAGAAATCATTTCAAAAGCATTTGGAATTCATTTTATATATCAGAAGCCAGAAAGTTAGTTTTTTTTCCCCCCAGTCAATATCTTGAGGTGCTCAAGAAACAGGCAGAAGGAGGACCAGCCTAAAACATTTCTAGGTTAAGGCAGAATGTCCAAAAAATGCTGACAAAACAGCTCAGAATATCGCATGTTCACATTATTATGCAAAACAACAAAAACTGAATTTTGTCTTCAAGACTTCCAAATACTGAACACACATCAATACTTCTGAACTTTTCAGCTAAAATTTTTCTCCTGTATTATTTTCATCTCTCATTGGATATTTCTTTGAAGTTACTGCATTTGGTATATAATGTAAGCTAACATGAATTTTGTTCCCTTGAAAATTAATATAATAGAAACTATCATATTCTGATGAAATTAAGTCATGCTTCAACTTCCACTTGGAAAGCAATTCAAAGATAGAAATAAGATGTATTATTAGTGCAGCAATGAGAAACAATAAGAGAATTTATGAAGTCATCCACAGTACAAAAGGGCGCTTCTGACAAGCAAACTGTTTTTAGATACTGATGTGTGGCTGCTCAAGGAAGTACAGTCTCATGAAACATGCCACTTGAAGCCTTKTTTGAAATGTCTGAAGAAAAAGAATCAAGAGAAACAAGAATAGCTCAGCAGACTAGCATGAGCAAGTTGAAATCAAGGGCTTGTCCATGAACAAATCAGCAATTAAAAGATAYATTTTGAAAGAAAAAAATAGAACAAGTGTATCAAAAAATGAAGGCAAAACCCCATGCAGGGGATTACTGTGATGCAGGAAACACATTAGAAAAGCAAAAGAAGAAAATTGAAGATTTAGGGCTTATAGCTACTTTTAAATATGTTCCATCATATCCAAATTTAAACAAAACTTGCAATCCCTAAAAAAGTAAGATTGTGTTCTTCTACAAATCAGTAAGAAGTATTTAGCTATATTAACCTTTGATAATATCAGTGATACATCACAAAAGCACATCATCTTCACAGATGGGAGTTATCCTCTGTTCTCAAAAGGTTTGAGATTTGTAGATTCTATACTTGACCTTTCTAGAAATTTGCATTTTACTACAGTTGTTCCCAGAAAAAAACAATATTAACATAATTTCACTGACCCAGGGAAGTCAATGGAATGACAACAGCATAAAGCTGGGGAGAGGTAAATTATTTAAGAATAGCTTTTTTTTTTCCTCTCTTCTCTCTCTCTACGAGCTTTCAGCACAACTTGTCTTCTTCCTATTCCCTCCACTCCAACTCTAAAGTGAACAGATAGGATTAGTTACTAAAGAAGATAATTCATCCTTTTTTGTCTTTTCCTGTAATAAAGCTCCTCAACTGTCTATAGGTAGGGTAGGATGGGGGGGGTTGTTGGGTCTTTTAAATGTCAGAAAATTGGAAGTTATATAATAAGTAAATAAAATTGTCAGCACAAAAAAAGCTACTGTCCATCAGGAAGAATTTGTTAAAACAAGTATACTTAAAGGATATCTCAGAAGAGTAGTGGAAAAACCATATAGTACAAATTGCTGCTTATCTTCTAATACATTAATGAAATGCATTAGAGGTAGCATGATAGGGCAACACAAGCAGAGATGATATCTGATCATCCTTAATTTGCTTATGAGCAGTAGACTACACTCTCCAGGATTGTTATGAGTTTCTCCCAAACTATACTTGAAGAAGGAAAGGAGAGGAACAGTAGTTTATGATTCTAGACGTCAATCATGTACTAATCAGAGAAAAAAGTCTGATCAGATTTTTTTAGTATCCTAAACCTCCAGGAACATCATGAGGGCAAATGTACAGCATATTTTACCACAAGACTCAATTGCACAGAAATATGTATTTTTTTTTGTCTAAAGTCTATAACTTCGTAAACTGCTAGAGTTTGAAAAATGTCCATTTTCCCCCCAAAGTACTGCCTCTGCTTCCCCTTTCTCCCCATTCTCTTGAATGCATGTAATTTATTTTCTACAGATTTAAGAGTAAAAACATAATGACAGACATCACAAACGGGAAAAGGAAAGAAGAGGTCCAGATTCCTACTCTTACACAGTTCAATTCAAATAGTTTTCGTTCAAATGCTTAGACTGAGACTCCAGAAACATAAGAATTTGAGTTTCTTGAGTGCTTTGCAGTTTTCATAAGGAAATTACACTTATCTATTTCTATTCCTTCACTGATCATTTAGAAGTGCTAATAACAAGGAATTACAGAAAGTTTCCCTTGGCCTCTAAACCACTCCTGCAATTTCACATTTGGAAACAGAAAGGGGCTATTTAATTCAGCATTAATCAGTGTCCCTAACACAACCAACTGCCCCTCATCCAACTAGAGGATTTATTTTCCCAGTCAGAGCACCTGACATACATCCAGTAAATGTATCTTAAAAAGCATCTCTAGCTCTTGTTTGCTGGAATTCTACAAGGCAAATCCTCTGAAGCAAGCCAAAACAGATTCATCGTGGGAAAGACAACAGAAAGCACTTAAGTACTTGCAGATAATGGAATATATTTTCAAGTAAGTCATGTTGCTTCTCAATGATGTTCCACTAATGGAAATGAAAATAAGAGACTGCTTATAAACTTTAAAGTGGGATCTTGAAGAAGCTAAATTGCTACAGCCTTGTGSCACACCTGTTTCAATTAAAGCAATTATCTTAAAGCATGGGACATTGCTGTCATCACTGCATCAGATTGCAGAGCAGCTGCACTTCTACCCTTAAAAGGCCTATTTAACTAGCACATAGTAAGAATATTTTCATCATCTATACACCTTCTGTTGCTAATTGCTGAGTTGCTTATSAAAACAAATAGTTGCTCTATCCTTATACAGTCAGACCTCATCTTTCATCATTCTCATTCTTGAGCTCAGTACTGTTTGGAGCAGACAAACTAAGATTCACCACAGAGAAAACATTTTCCTACAAATGGGATGAATTTAGGGTTGATTTTTCAGGTCTTCTCAGTACAGAAATATTCCTGGCCATTACAGTGGCAACAGCAACACAGAGCCAAATAAGCTGGAATAGCTTTCCACAGCATAGCATTGTCCCATGTAGACACAACCATAGACAGACCCGGAAAGATACCCAACTATCTAACTTGACAGGGTTACCACTATGTGCCCAGAGCTGTTTCTGAGCCACTGCACAGACTCAACTCTACTGAGAAAGGAAGGATACAACCTTCCTTCTTGTTTAGGCTTTTCCCTGACCTGTCATGCATATGCTAGTATAATCATCACTACTGCATCTTCCCCTGTGAGGCCATATCCATCCACAGATGGTCTAAAGGTAGTCTAGTAACCACCTATGAAGATGAAATACAGAGGTCAGAACTCATTTCTCTATTTCAAAAATATGCTACCTCGTCCTCTATTACCCACCAACGCAAAAAACAGTCATCCCTTTGACAGCAAATTTTTACTATCAGTTCATTTTACCAGAACTAGACCAAAGGAACTTCTAATACAGAAATGCTTTAGACACTAATAAATCCTCAAAAGAAAACATAGCATAATGGCAGAACCTAAAATAATATACTACGTTCTTCTGAGCACTACGGAAAAAGTTTAAGACCACTTAAAATAAATGGGACAAGCTGCATCAAGTTTCTTTTAACTGCTGTTATTGCTAATAGAAACAACCACTACCCAAAGCTTACTCTTACATTATCCCCAGAACCATCTTTACATAAACTGGAAATATGTTTAAATATTCCATCCTTTACTTTGCAATAATAGTTTCAAAAGTGCATTGCTTGGTCTGTTTCAAAGCAACTGACATAATATAAAAATCTCTGACTATTCAGTGATTCTGGACAGAGGAGACGAACGACAGGGATTAGGTATGTATATTTCTCACCATGAGATGTAATAAAACAATTTCCTTCTCCCATAGGACCTGTGAGAAGCAGTTGCTGTTCAATGCAAAGGGTATGTTTAAACCATGGTGTTGTAGCAGAGAAAGTCCTCTGGTTTTAGCTGACTTTTGTCCCTTTATTTACAAATATGTGACAGTCAAAGAAAAAAAGAAATCAAATCAGTGTTGGATCAGTGTTGGATAAACTAATGTTGTTAAAAAGTCAATGACAAAACATTAACTTCTGTGTGCATTGTTACTATTAATGAAACAGGAAATCATTACATAAACATGTACAGTTTTATGAAGTGAACAGAGTTAGCAGTCTATTATAAAAAAATAATCCAATACTTTGACCAACAACTTCAGAAGAATACTTACTTCCTTATATTAAATCCACCTCAGCATCATCTCTAATGCCTTAGGACAGAAATTCTAGACACTAACTGTATAACAAACTATTTTTATTTCTGCCCATCAGACAGAAAGAAATTGAGTTAGTATGAACCTGCCTTCACACAATTCACCTTTAGCATTGCAAAAACAACCGCAACGCCCAAATACTGTTAAAGTTCACATAAGATAATAAGTTTCCCCAGCAAATATGTCCCCTCAACATAGAATTTTATATACTAAACTTCTTCTCCCTTGGCAAAATCCAAATTCCCAATTCATTACCAGTCCTAAAATATGATCCAGCTGCAGAGCCCTCCAAATGTTCATTTTGGTATTTCTCTAGCAGGTTGCCCTCACAGGAGGGTTTAACATGTCTATTACTACCTTTGAGCAAATATGCTGCTTTCTGAAAATGAACCAGTGACAGTTCTGTATGTTCAGGTTCTTGCAAATGATTTTGCATACTGCACTTCACTATTACTGTCATACATCCTCTTTGTTGGATAGACACAGGATACCTATGTCTATATAATTATATAAATTGAAAGATTTCCCAAAAGTGGTTTTAGCTATTCAAGCATACTGTCTTCCACCCTTAGTTAGGAGGAAAAAAAACCACCCACATCCAGAAAAGAAAGTGAAGAAAGTGGAAAAAATAATATCCTTCTTGAATCACTTGAGACCAGATTAAA